TCCCCAAAGCCCCAGTAGATAGTTGTATGTCTAGTTGCACATCCTTCTAGTTGCTGTATGTGGGACACGGCCTTAGCATGGCCGGAGAAGCGGTGCATTGGTGTGCGCCCAGGATCCGAACCCCGGGCCGCCAGCAGCAGAGCGCGCGCACTTAACCGCTAAGCCACGGGGCTGGCCCTGCTTCCACTTTCAAGGTCTAGATTTAAGAGGATTTTTAAATAAAGGTTTTTGTTTTTGTTTTCAGAAAAGCACCCACACAAAAAACAAAAATGCGTGCTATGAATCCTTTTAACAAGTCTTAGAAACACTGATCATTGTTACAGAATCACAGGGCCTTCCAAATAGGCCCCAGAGAACCAAGACCTTAAGTGAGACAAGGGTGCTGAGCTGGCCTGTTTCCCTCTTCCCTGCTCTTTCTATCATTTACAGAATATTATCTGTGTCAGACACAGTTCTGTGTGCTGTGCACACACTAGTTCATTGGGTCCTCTCACCAACACTAGGAGGAGGTATTATTATTATCCTCATCTACAGAAAAGTTGGCTACTGGCCGCAAGTCTCAGAGCTGGTGAGAGGAGAAGCTAACTGAGGTTTGGGCCCAGGCAGTCTGGCTCCTGAGTGTGCTCTTCACCACCATGCCAGGCCCCCTTTCCATGATCTCACCAAGCCTGTGATGGGAGATCAGGGCAGGATAACACCACCCAAAGCGGTTTCTCAGAGCCCTGCACCACTGACGCTGGTCCAGTGGTTAGAAGATGCCTCCTGGAGAGTGACAGTATCCTCCCACCTCGTTTTATTGAAGCGTTTGTTTTCATGGAACACCAGCTCACAACCCTCGGAGCCAGTGTTCCCTGCCCTGCGCTCCAGGAAGGCTGATTTGGGGAATGATATAGCGGTACAGAACTGGGCTGCAACCTCTGCAGGAGGCATCACTGATTTGTAACATGAAAAGGGGCTGTAACTACCCTATAGAACCCACTGGTTCCAACTTCCTTCTTTCCTCTTGGGTTGACAGCGTCTCTCTGCAAACAGGTTCAATGATGAGCTTTAGTCTCAGCACCGCCAACTAGCTGTGGTGGGTTAGCAAAGCACTTCATCTTTCTGCTCCTTTCAGGGGCCTCATTTGGAAAACAAAGAGATCAGGCTGGTTGATCCCTAAAGTGTATCTCGATCCTTTTATTTATGACCCTATTAACCCCTTTTGCTCTGAGAATCCAGGCAGGAGAATGTCTATAGAAGGCAAGCTAAGAATCAAAATATAATGATGTACACCTGAAATTTATATAATGTTATAAACCAGTTACTTCAATAAAAAATAAATAAATACAAAATTTAAGACAAAAAAAAAGAAGGCAAGCTAAGGACACAGTTATATTTTTCCGCAGGAAGAAAAACGGTGGGTGTTTAGAAACATGTTCGTGCAGAGATAATGAGGCCCAGTTTGTTTACTGCCTCTTCTCAGCCTGGGTGTTACCTGATTGAGCTGAGAGCTGTGCCCTCCTTTAATATTTGACACGATTGTCACAAAGCCATGAGGCTTCTGCAGTGATGCTGAGGGAGGGAGACCCTCATATCCAATCTCTGAAAGCAAATGGCAGTGGCGTGGTCCAGTGGTGATGGCGCTTGGCTTGGGCTCTCCCTGAAGTGCCCTTTAGAGCCTGGGGTCAGCCTTTTGCCCTGAAATGAAGTATTGCTACTAAATAATTATTGTTGGTTTTTTTAAACAGGCGCTTGAATAAAATTGTTTGGCGAGCACTATCTCAAGAGGAAAAAGAAAAGTAAGCCAGTTCCTCCTCAGTTTTTTTTTTTAATTTTGGTGAAATTCACAAAACCTACAATTAACTGTTTTAAAGTGTACAATTCAATGGTATTTAAATGATTCAAAATGTTATATAAACCACTACCTCCCTCTTGTTTCAAAAATTTTTTATCACCTCAGGAAAATACCTTGTACCCATTAAGTAATCCTCCCCCATACCTCCCTCCCCCTCTGGTAGCCACTAGTCTGCTTTCCGTCTCTGTGAATTTGCCTTTTCTGGATATATCATATGAAAGGGATCATACAACATGTGACATTTTATGTCTGGCTTCTTTTACTTAGTTACTTTAAAAACTTAATGTTTTCAAGGTTCACCCAAGTTGTAGCATTTATAGTACAGTCATGTGTCGATTAACAACGGGGATACATACATTCTAAGAAATGCATCATTGGGCAGTTTTCATCATTGTGCAAACATCGTAGAGTATACGTACACAAACCTGGATGATATAGCCTACTACACACCTAGGCTGTAGTTAGTACACCTAGGTACTAATCTTATGGGACCACTGTTGTATACTTGGTCCCTCATTGAGGGAAACGTCATTATGCAGTATATAACTGTACTTCATTCCTTTTTATACCTGAGTAATGATCCATTGTGTGTATATACTAGTTTGTTTATCCATTCTTCCATTGATAGATATTTGTGTTGTTTCCACTTTTGGGCTATTACAAACAATGCTGCAACATACATTCATGTGGAAGTTTCTGTGTGGACATGTTTTCGTTTTTCTTGAGTATATACCCAGGAGTGGATTTGCTGAATTAAAGGATAATTCTATGTTTAATTTTTTGAGGAGCCACAAGCTGTTTTCCCCAGCAACTTCACCATTTTACATGCCTACCAGCAAAGTATGATAGTTCTGGTTTCTCCACATCCTTGCCAACACTTGTTATTTTCCTTTTTTTTTTTTAAACTAAGGCCATCCTATTGGCTGTGAAGTGATATCTCGTTGTAGTGTTCATTCACATTTACTTCATGACCAATAATGTTGAAAATCCTTTTATGTGCTTGTTGGCCATGGGTATATCTTCTTCAGGGAAAAAAATTTATTCAAGTCCTTTGCCCATTTTTTTTTTTTTTTTGTGAGGAGATCAGCCCTGTGCTAACATCTGCCAATCCTCCTCTTTTTTTGCTGAGGAAGACTGGCCCTGGGCTAAAATCCATGCCCATCTTCCTCCACTTTATATGGGATGCCGCCACAGCATGGCTTGCCAAGCAGTGCGTTGGTGCGCGCCCGGGATCCGAACCGGTGAACCCCAGGCCGCTGCAGTGGAGCGCGCACACTTAACCGCTTGTGCCACTGGACCGGCCCCTGCCCATTTTTAAATTGAGTTGTTTGTCCTTTTGTTGTTGAGTTGTAAGAGTTCTGGATATTAAACCTTTATCAGATGTATGATTTGCCAGTATTTTCTCCTATTCTATAGATTGTCTTTTCATGTGCTTGATAATGTCCTTTTTTTGCCCCAAAGTTTTTATTTTTAGGAAGTCAATTTATCTGTTTTTTTCCTTTGTTGCTCATGTTTTTGGTGTCAAATCTAAGAATCCGTTGCCAAATATGAGCTCATGAAGATCTACCCCTGTGTTTTCTTCTAATACTTTGCTGGTTTTAGCTCTTACATTTAGGTCATTGATCAATTTTGGCTGAATTTTTGTATATGGATTGAGGTATCTCCATCTGCAAATAGAGATAGTTTTACTTCTCCTCTCCAATTTGTATGCTGTTTATTTCTTTCTCTTGCCTAATTGACCTGGCTAGAACTTCCAGTATAATGTTGAACAGCAGTGGTGAAAGAGAGCATTCTTGTCTTGTTCCTGATCACAGGGAGAAAGCTTTCAATCTCTCACCATTGAGTAGGATGTTGTTGTGGGTTTTTCAAAAATGCTCTTTACTATGTTAAGGAAGTTTCCTTCTATTCCTATTTTGCTGATTATTTTCATCATCATGAGTTATTGGTTGAATTTTGTCGAACGCTTTTTCTTCATCTATGGAGATGATCATGTGGGATTTTTTTCCCCCTTATTCTACTGAAATGGTGTATTAAGTTGATTGATTTTTCTTAGGTTTAACCACCCTCGCATTCCTGCGATAAATCCCACTTGGTCATGATGTATAATCCTTTTAATGTTATATTGGATTTGTTTTGCTACTGTTACGTTGAGGCTATTTACCTGTATATTCATAAAGGAAAATAGTTTTTTTTTCTTTTTTGTGAGAAAGATCAGCCCTGAGCTAACATCTGCCAATCCTCCCCTTTTTGCCGAGGAAGACTGGCCCTGGGCTAACATCCGTGCCCATCTTCCTCCACTTTATATGGGACGCCGCCACAGCATGGCTTGACAAGCGGTGCATCGGTGCGCGCCCAGGATCCGAACCGGCGAACCCTGGGCCGCCGCAGCGGAGCGCGCGCACTTAACTGCTTGCGCCACCGGGCCAGCCCATAGTAGTGTTTTTTTCTTTGGTCTCTTTGTCTGGTGTTGGCATCAGGGTAATGCTGGTCTCATTGAATGTATTAGGAAGTGATCCCTCTCTTCTATTTTTTGGAATAGTTTGAGTAGGATTGATGTTAATTGTTCTTTACGTTTTTGGTAGAATTCACCATGAAGCCATGTGGTGCTGGACTTCTCCTTGTTGGGGCATTTTTGATTACTGGTTCAAAGTCTTTGTTGTAGGCCGCTGAGATTGTCTATTTCTTCTTGAGTCATTTTGGTAATTTGTGTGTATGGCAGCCTCCTTGTGACTGTCACTTCATCAGAGTCCCGTTGATCGACCTAGAACTCCTTCTGTTTCTCTCTCTCTCTCTCTCAGTCCTACTTGTTTATTTCCTTCTTGGCATTTGCCACGATTTATAATTATATATTTTCTATATTACCTCGCTTATTCTCTCTCCCCACCAGATCGTAAACTTTACAAGGCTGGAATATGGCTATTAATTCATTAAAGAATACCCAGCGTATTCTTTAATGAATTTAAAGAATTAAAGAATAACGGTAGCATATATACTATATAGTAGGCATGCAGTAAATATTTGTTGAATAAATTAACGAATGAAGTCTATTGGAAATGACAGTTTTAAGTATTTTTACCAATCTCTTTCCCTTTACCACTTTTTAATGTCTTCCAACATTTTAACAATTTAATTCCTATATGTGAAATCAAGGAGTGATTGTTTTTGCTTTAAAAAATATCTGATATTTGGTTGTACTTTGCAGCCTTCTAAAGAATGGTTTCTGACTATTTTTAAATCTATAAATTGGGAAAACTAAGATGCATTTAGATAATAGATTATTAGAAGGTCAATTCTGTGCTCATTTAAAGAGTAGCTAAATGAGAAATTGTATTTAGTAAAGGGACTATAGAATTTACACAAATCTCCATAATCCAGTGTAGAGCATTGTAGGTGTCCATTGAACCTCATCTCACAGCTCGTTCAAATTGAAAGAGTTGAGCACGTGAATGAGATTTTCTCCCTTCTCTACAACCCTCTGGAAACCGTCTGTATTTCCCAGAAAAGACGGCTATGAATTTGATAGTAGAAACCTTTTCCTCCATCAGTAGCTTAAGAACATAACCCAGAAATCTCAATTTAAATTTATTTTTAAAAATTTTAATTGCTGTAAAAAAAAGAACATGTAATATAAAATCATCTTATCCATTTTTAAGTGTACAGTTCACTAGTATTAACTATATTAACATTGTTGTGCAACAGATGTCTAGAAATTTTTCCTCTTTCAGAACTGAAATTCTATGCCCAATGAACAATTCTTCCCCTTTCTCCTACCCCTAGCCCTGGCAACTACTATTCTATTTTCTTTTTCTTTGAGTTTGACTACTTTAGATACCTCATATAAGTGTAGTCATACAGTATTTGTCATTTTGTAGCTGGCTTATTTCACTTAATAGAATGCCCTCAAGGTTCATCCACATTGTAGCATGTGACAGGATTTCCCTTTTTTTAAGGGCTGAATAATATTCCACTGTATGTACATACCACATTTTCTTTCTGGTGGTTGCTTCCATCTCTTAGCTTTGTGACTAATGCTACAAAGAACATGAGTGTGCAAATACTTCAAGATTCTGTTTTAATTCTTTTGAATATATACCTAGAAGTGGGATTGCTGTATCATATGGTAATTCTGTTTTTAATTTTTTGAGGAACCTCCATACTGTTTTCCATAGCAGCTGCACCATTTTACATTCCCTCCAGCAATGCACAAGGGCTCCAATTTCTCTACATCCTCACCAACACTTGTTATTTTATGCTTTTTTTTCTTTGATAGTAGTCAACCTAAGGGGTGTGGGGTAATATCTCATTGTGGTTTTGATTTACATTTCTTTTATGATTAGTGATATTGAACATCTTTTCACATGCTTGTTGGCCGTTTGTATATCTTCTTTGGAGAAATGTCTGTTCAAGTCCTTTGCTCACTGTTTAATTGGGTTATTTTGTTATTGTTGTTGTTGTTGTTGAGGTATAGGAGTTTTTAAATATATTCTGGATATTAACCACTTATTAGATATATGATTTGCAAATATTTTCTCCCATTCTACAGGTTGCCTTTTCACTCTATTGATACTTTCCTTTGATGCATAGAAGTTTTTAAGTTTGATATAGTCCCATTTGTCTATGTTTGCATTTGTTGTCTGTGTTTCTGGTGTCATATCCAAGAAAGCATTGCCAAATCCAATGTCATGAAGCTTTTCCACTATATTTTCTTCTAGGAGTTTTATAGTTTTGGGTTTTATGTTTAGGTCTTTAATCCATTTTGTTTGGAGGTAATTTTTATATATGGTATAAGTTATGGGTCCAAATTCATTCTTTTGCATGTGGATAGCCAGTTTTCCCAGAACCATTTGTTGAAGAGATTGTCCTTTCCCTCAGTGTGAGGTCTTGGCACCTTTGAGAAGATCATTTTACCTTATACATAAGAGTTTGTTTCTGGGTTCTTTATTCTGTCTCATTGATTATGTCTGTCTTTATGCCAGTGCCACACTGTTTTAATTACTGTAGCTTTGTAATATGTTTTGAAATCAGGAAGTGTGAGTCCTCCAACCTTGTTCTTTTTCACAATTGCTTTGGCTATTCCAAGTCCCTTAAGATTCTATGAATTTTAGGATGATTTTTTTCTATTTCTGCGAAATATGCCATTGGGATTTTGATAGGGATTACATTGAATCTGTAGATCACTTGGACGTATGGACATTTTGACAATATTGAGTCTTCCAATCCATGAACACAGGATGTCTTTCCACTTACTTGCATATTCTGTAATTTTTTCCAGCAATGTTTTGTAGTTTTCAGTGTACAAGTCTTTCACATCCTTAGTTAAGTTTATTCCTAAGTATTTTATTATTTTTGATGCTATTGTAATTGGGATTATTTTCTTAATTTCCTTTTCAGCTTGTTCATTGTTAGTATATAGAAGTACAACTTCTGTTTCGATTTTTTTTGTGTGTGAGGAGATCAGCCCTGTGCTAACATCTGCCAATCCTCCTCTTTTATTTATTTATTTATTTTTTTGCTGAGGAAGATTGGCCCTGGGCTAACATCCGTGCCCATCTTCCTCCACTTTATATGGGATGCTGCCACAGCATGGCTTGCCAAGTAATGCGTCGGTGCGCGCCCTGGATCCGAACCGGCAAACCCCAGGCTGCCACAGCGGAGCACGCGCACTTAACCGCTTGCGCCACCAGGCCGGCCCCTCTGTTTTGATTTTTGTGTGCTGATTTTTTATCCTGCAACTTTGTTGAATTTGTTTATTAGTTCTAACAGCATTTTTGTGGAATCTTTAGGGTTTCTACATATAAAATCAGGCCATCTGCGAACAGATATAATTTTACTTCTTCATTTTCAATTTGGATGTCTTTTGTTTCTTTTTCTTACCTAATTTCTCTGGATTGGACTTCCAGCACTATGTTGAATAAAAGTGAGAGTGGATATCCTTGCCTTATTCCTGATCTGAGAGGAAAAGCTTCCAATTTTTCAGTGTTGAGTATGATGTTACCCGTGGGTTTTTCATTTGAGGCCTTTATTATGCTGAGGTAGTTTCCTCGTATTCCTAGTTTGTTGAGTTTTTTTGTTTGTTTTGTTTTCATGAAAGGGTGTCGAATTTTGTCAAATGATTTTTCTGCATCAATTGAGATGATCAAGTGGTTTTTTTCCTTCATTCTGTTAATGTGACGAAATACATTGATTGTTTTTTATATGTTGCTTCATCATTGCATTTCAGGAATAAATCTCACTTCTCATGCTGTATAATCCTTTAATCTGCTGTTGAATTTGGTTTGGTAGTGTTTTGTTGAGGATTTTGCATCAATGTGCATAAGGGATATTGGTCTGTAGTTTTCTTGTGGTGTCGTTGTCTGGCTTTGGTATCAGGGTCATGCTGGCCTCATAGAATGAGTTTGGAAATGTTCCCTCCTCTTCAATTTTTGGAAGTATTTGAGGAGGATTGATGTTAATTCTCCTTTAAATGTTTGGTAGAATTCTTTACTGAAGCCACTTGGTGCTGGGTTTATATTTGTTGGAAGGTATTTGCTTACTGATTCAATCTCTTTACTAGTTATATGTCTGTTAATATTTTTTATTTCTTCATGATTCAGTCTTGGTTGGTTATTTATTTCTAGGAATTTATCCATTTCTTCTAGGATATCCAACTTGTTGGTATATAATTGACCATAGTTGTCTCTTATAATCCTTTTTATTTCTGTGACATCAGTTGTAATGTCCCCTCTTTCCTTTCTGATTCTAGTTGAGTCTTCTCTCTTTTTCTCTTAGGTAATCTGGCTAAGCATTTGTTTTGTTGCTCTTTCAAAAAACCAATTCTTAGTTTCATTGATTTTTTCTATTGTTTTTCTATACTCTATTTCATTTATTTCTGCTCTAATCTTTATTCTTTCCTTCCTTATGCTAACTTTGGGTTTAGTTTTTGTTCGTTTTCCAGTTCCTTGAGGTGTAAAGTTAGGTTGTTGATTTGAGATCTTTCTTCTTTTCAAATGTAAGCATTTAGCACTATAAATTTCCCTTTTGGTATTGCTTTACTGCATCTTATACATTTTGATATTTTGTGTTTTCGTTTTCATTTATCTCAAGATCTTTTCTAATCTCCCTTGTGATTTCTTCTTCGACCCATTGGTTGTTTAAGAATGTGTTATTTCCACAAATCTGGATTTTCCAGTTTTCTATCTGCTATTGATTTCTAATTTTGTTCCATTGTGATCAGAGGAGATATTTTGTATGATTTCAATCTTAAAAAACTTTTAAGACTTGTTTTGTGGCCTAACATGTGGTCTGTGTTGGAGAATGTTCCATGTGCATTTAAGAAGAATATGTATTCTGCTGTTGGCTGGTAGTGGATTTTGTATCTGTCTGTTAGGTCCAGTTGGTCTATAGTGTTGTTCAAGTCCTCTGTTTCCTTATTGACCATCCGTCGGATTGTTCTATTGATTATTGAAAATGGGGATTGAAATCTCTTACTTTTTATTGTGTTGCTGTCTATTTCTCCCTTCAGTTCTGTCAATGTTACCTTCATATATTTGGGAGCTCTGACATTAGGTGCATATATATTTATAACTGTCATATCTTCCCAGTGGATTGACCCTTTTACCATTATATATTGTCCTTCTTTGCCTCTTGTAACAATTTATGACTTAAAATAGTCATAATTTGCTGATTTTTTCTTCTGCTTGATCAAGTCTGCTTTTAAACCTCTCTAGTGGATTTTTCACTTCAGTTATTGTATTCTTCAGATCCAGAATTCGTGCTTGGTTCTTTTTTATAGTTTCTCTTTGTTGATATTCTCATTTTGTTCGTGCATCGTTTTCCTGATTTCATTTAGTTGTCTATCTGTGTTCTCTTTGAGCTCATTGAGCATCTTTCAGACAGTTATTTTGAATTCTTTGTCAGGTAATTTATAGATCTCCATTTCTTTAGGGTAGTTTTCTGCAGATTTATTTTGTTCCTTTGATTGGGCCATCTTCCCCTGTTTCTTTGTATCTTAGGATCTTTAGTTGAGATTTGAGCATTTGAAAAACCAGACACCTCTCCCAGACTTTACAGACTGGCTTCTGACAGGGGAAGACCTTCACCGAGGTCTAGAGATTCTGGGGACCTCTCAAACCTTTTCTGGCGCTATATCTTCTCTAGGCTTATGTGTGTGTAATTTCCTAGTTAAAGAATTTTGCCCGTTTCTTCTCAGGAGCCCATAATCTCTTGCTCCCCCTCGTGTCTAGTTTTGGTACTGCAGTATTTCTGGTGCTTTTACAAGCCATGGAACTCATTTTTGTTCTCAGCTGCCCATAACCTGGCATCCAAAGTATACTGCCATTCCCGTCAGCTCTGAGTCAGGTGAGACAGAAACCAGTCTCTCGGGCAGCCCGCCAAAAGCCAGAATGTTGGATGCATGTTCCACTCGTCTCTTTCCCTCCCAAAGTAAAAGCCAGGGTTTAGGAGTTTTCTCCCAATTGCACTGCACTGTGCCAGGGAAAGAGAGGGCAGGCAAAATGCAACAAACTTCCACACCCACTTCAATGCCTATTCTTCTTGGCTTTGTGCTCATCTGGAGTGCTGCATCCTTTTAACTGGTTTCTGGAATTCTCATGAAGGCAATTTGGTCCATACATTGTTGTTAAGTTGGTGGCTCCGTGGGAGAAGGAGGGCCTGGGGTTTCTTATGCCACCATCTTGCTGACATCACTCCAATTTAGATTTGTAATAAGAATTTTTGCTGTCATCTGGAGACAAGTTTGTCTGTGGATTGAGCCCTGTGGTTGTGCTGGGCTTACACTGTGCTCTTGCAACACCCAACATCTAAAGGAAGTGACACTTTCAGCAATTAGAGGATGATAATTATGGAATGCCTCTCTCTCTCTCCCTCCCCCTCTCTCTCGCTCCTTCCAGGAGTGTCTGACTCAGTAATAGCTGGGAGTGGAAATAGAATGCAGGACCTGGGCATCACAGCACACTGGCTGTCCCTGGAGTCTCACAGCCTGCTCATCAGCTCACAGAAAGTTCGGCTTCTGTTCTTTGTGTACCAAAACAATGAAGCCGGAAAGTTTGGGCCTATTTTGGCTTACAAGGAGGAGAGGGGATGAAAATAACTAAAATGAGCTAGTAGGAGAATGTCTGCACTGAGGCACGTATTTGGGTTGGGTTTGGTTTTGCTTTGCTTTGCACTGTTTTCCAGAGTCACTGCTAGGCATAGTTGTGTGAAATCTCTTTGAAGCTCATTTTTGGTTCTGCCAAATATTAGGCCTAGGGAGAAAGGAATGGGTTCCAGATATGCCGAAAAAGACGTTGAGAAAAAGTCATGTGTATCAAACTTCTCTAAAATCAGATAATCAAATTAAGTAATGGGAGAAAATGCCTACCATAATTCACAGAGATGGTTATTTTTAACTTGTGCAAGCTACCAAAGTCCTGATGGGCCAGAGGCTGTGGCTGTGATTCTGCCAACTGACACCTGATATCTGCTTTGACGGATGTTTCTCAAGGGAGGGTTTACTGAAAAACCATCTTTCCATATTTTTTCTGTTATGGTCACTTTCTTTGTTTTTTTGTTTCTTCTTCTTTTTTTCTTTAGGTTAGATGCAAACAAACCAATCCGGTACTTGGAAAACAAGGCAGCTTTGAACAAGGCATTAGAACGGTTGAATTGGCCCATTTCATTGAAAGAGTTGTCGATGCTGGAAAATGAAATCCTAGCTGGGAAAATGTATGTCCAGCAGGCCATGGAACTCCAGGAGGCTGCCAAGAAGGAGAATTATGTGAGCAGGGCACTAGGAGAGGTGGGTGCCATGGAGATGTCTGTATTTCCTCCCTCCCTCCTGTCGCAGGTCATTGCCATCCTACGCTGGCCTTCTTTCTCTCTCTCACCCCCACGACGCCCATTTCTAAAAGAGTTGGAGCCAACCCGGTTAAGGTCTCTGGACTTCTTTTCAACAGAAAGGAAATATCATTTGATTTTACTATGGCCTTATTTTTTAAACAATACATCTTTTAATTGGAAAATAAAACTAAACAGAAGTATAATGTAGTGACCAAAAGCCTAGACTGATGTGAGCCAGACCGGGGTCCAGCCTCAGACCTGCCACCTAATCCCTGTGTGATCCTGGCCAGTTACTCTACCTCTCTGAACCTTAGTTTTTTTAATCTGAAAAACAGGACTCTTAATAGTATCTGCAAAAAAAAAAAAAAAGTAGTATCTGCCTCATAGGGTTGTTATGAGAGTAAAATGAGCATTTAAAATGCTTAGTATTGAAAATCTTCCATAAGTGATAGCAATTATTGTTACTAGTAGTAAAACAAACCTTCTAAAAAGAAAAAATAATTTATTATCTCACTGCCTTATTATTGCCACTTTGGATCATTTACTTTTAGTGGTTTTTTTTCCTCCTTGAATAAATTTTTTACATACACACAGTCAGAGTGTCCATAATCGTTTCATACTTTGCTTTTTAATTTAGCATTATCCCACATACTTTCTCTGTGTTTTTTTGAATCTTCAGATTGACTTTTTTTGTGTTTACATAATATTCCATGGTTTGTATATGCCCTGATTTCTTTAGCTCTTCACTGAATATTGGACATTTGGGTGTTTTCTAGTTTTCTTGTCTTTCACATGATGTTTTAATGACTTCTGTGGTGCATACAGTTTAACTATTTTGTTAGGATAAACTCTTAGGGGTGAGATCCTTGGATCAAAGGGCAGGAACATTTAGGGACTCTAAATACATGTTGCCTGTATAATACCCTCTTTCTGAGTACACTTGGGTGTGTGTAGACCTGGAATAGATCATCTGAAATCTTACTGAATTCCGTGTGATTTTTGTATATTCACTATATGATAGTCTGAAAAATACGCCCAAAGAACTGACCTCTGTGACTCATCTCTTTCTGGTTTCAGCCTTTGCTAAGTGGTACTGGCTTTGCCTGGTTTTGAGTTCTGTGTTTGCTGCTCTAGATTCTTATATTCTGTTTTGTTTGTTTGTTCATTTTTCTTTAATTTTATTTTTCCCCTACAAATCGCATTTTTTCCCCTTCAGTGTAGAAAGCTGTGTCTTTTGTGCAGAATGCAAACATTTTTTCACAAAACATCTTATTTCTATTAATGTTATTCAACAAAGTGACTTCCTCAAAGAGCCGTTCACTGTTTCCTTGGAGGCACCATCTCATGCCTCCAAAGTGTGGCTGTCCATTGGCCTTCTGAACTCGGATGCCCCGTGGGCACCCGAGAGTCAAGAAGACCAAAGGTGAGTTAATCCCCTCTCCCTGAAAATATGCTCTTCCTTTCGTGGTGCCTCTTCCTCTCTGTTTGTTCTTTCATTTATTTTTTGGAGTATTTATGAATTCCTATGAAGTGCCAAGCACTATTCTAGGCACTGGGAGTACCTAAACACACAACCATGTCTCACCCTCATTCTAGTGAAGGAGACAGACCCTTTCGAGTCCCAAGTGATGGACTTCCCAAGTTGAGCTGTGGAGACACCACTGCCTAACAGTAGAACTTGTTAGCATTATTCTTTTATCTATACTTTATATTAAATTTAAAAATGGGAAGTGTTGCTAATGGAGTGAAAAGAAGTCTCTTGTGATTCAGAACAAAGATAGTATGTTCTACTGAATTTGTCTGGAATTCTGGAAATCAAAAGCTCATTGTTCATGGGATGTGAATTATTTGTTATACTTCTTCATTCCTTGTCCATAAAGTGGGAATAAAAATAATTCCCCTAATTTCTTCATCCAAAAATATTTGTTCATTCCCTGCCATGGACCAGATTCTATGCTTGGCACAGGCGATCTCAGGCAGTGAATAGCCTGTCTCAGTCTTCTCTCTCTCCTTGGGGCTTCTGAAGGTGATACTATACATTGGACACAAATTGGGAGTTTAACTGCATTGAAGACGTGGGCCCAGCCTACTGGAGGAGACAATAGAATAGACCATAACCTCCATGAGAGCTGAGACCTTGTCTGGCCTTATTTGTTTACATCCACAGCACTGGGAATGGTGCCTGGTGCACAGGGGTCACTCAGTAAATGTTTATAGAATGGATGGAACCTAGATCCTTAGAGCAGAGTGTTATGAATATGACAGCAGAGGCAGCCATAGAACAACTGGAAGACAGGAAAAAGTGAACGATTCTGGCTAGGGAGTGGGGGCAGGCTTCACAGAGAGGGATAATTAAGTTTCGTCTGGAAGAATGTGTAAGAATTTGAGAGTTGGACTGTGAGAAATGTTTCAAGTTAAAGAAACAGCCTGTGCAAAGGCAGGAGGTAACAAGAACATGGCGTGTTCACCAGGGGCAACGACAAGAGACAAAACAGGAAAGGGAATATGGCACCAGAATTCAAGGGACTTGGAATTCTCTCCTAGGATCAGGGACTCACGCCTGTAGGAGATGGATACCCAGGGGAGGATTTTCAGCAAGTGGAAGACGTGAACAGATTTGTGTCTTGGAAAAGTTATTTCAACAGCGCGATGAGGCCCGATATAGAGGAGAAAGACAAAATCAGGTGCAGAACTCCCTTGAGAGCTGTTGAGACCTTGAGCCAAGCCAGGCATCATTGCCCTGCTGACTTCCTCACTGAAACTGGCACGAGCGGGCCGACCCCGTGGCTTAGCAGTTAAGTGCGTGCGCTCCGCTACTGGCGGCCCGGGTTCGGATCCCGGGCGCGCACCGACGCACCGCTTCTCCGGCCATGCTGAGGCCACGTGCCACATACAGCAACTAGAAGGATGTGCACCTATGACATACAACTATCTACTGGGGCTTTGGGGGAAAAAAAGGGAGGAGGATTGGCAATAGATGTTAGCTCAGAGCCGGTCTTCCTCAGCAAAAAAGAGAGGAGGATTAGCATGGATGTTAGCTCAGGGCTGATCTTCCTCACACACACACACACAAAAAAGGAAACTGGCACAAGCTACTTCCATATACCTAAGCCTAGAAGTGTGTCAGCTTATTTATTTAGCACCAGCATTTCTCGTTCTCACTCTCTATCCCCTCTGACTCTCATCCTCTGCGGGTGTCTTCTTAAAACCCAGTGGCGTGCTTGTACTGTGCATGTGCATAGGTGAGGTATCGCAGGAAAGGAACAGGACTATGAATGTTCTTTGCCATGGGCTGTACAGTGTCTCTAAAGTTTTTGGCAAGATTCAAAAATGGCGGGGTATCATCTTTCTGGAAGGGTGCTGTCAACATTGTGGCTGAAGGGATGTCATATCTAGCTACCCTGATTGATGTCCTTCCATCTGGGAAACCGATGTTCTATTTCTGTGGAATGAACCATTGATTTAAAGCCAGCCTGGTAGGTTTGTTTTGCCATGGCTGCTCTACTTTATCCGTGGTGTAGCTGAATTGATTGTGCAGTGGTATGGATGAATCATTGAGTATACAGTGAATGCTTCCTTCCATAAAGCTACATGCTGTGGAAACAACCAGAAATGAATTCTTGCCAATAGTAGTAACCGTTGGAAACAAAAGCAAAGTAAGTGTGAGTTACGTGTACAAAGCCCCTTAGTATCTGTAATGGTCCTTTCAGGTGAACTCACAGGTGTGTGAATGACTTGAAGGAGGGGGGATACTTTCAGCCATGTAGAAAAGCATTTTTTTACAAGGCATTGTCAGTGTGTTAAAAATAAACACTATAGCACTCTGCATTGCTACCATTGGTTGTCGCTCGTGCAGGGAAGGTCTTCCCAGAGTGAGTGATTGTTTTGTATCAGATGAATTGGGAAGTGAGTGACAACTATAGGAATAAAAGAGCTCTTTGATGATTTCAGGCAACTGACTTTACAGATATGTACCTGTGAAAATGCAGAAAGTAATCTCATTGGTTAGCTTCTGGCTAGGATAGGATTAATATTTGGAATCTAGAGAGAAAAGAGAGCCAGTTAAATAAATTATGTGATTCTACTCATTTAGAATTTTGAAAAGGAACTTTAAATGTATCTAGGCATAGGTTCTAATAAATGGCTTGTCTTTATATTGATGAAATCTAAAGGGGAAAAATGCCTTTCTGGAATTGAAGTGGACATCTTTTTGAAATAACAGGATGTTATTAGTCTGGAGGTGGAGGCTGTCTGGTGCCTCAGTGACCAACAGCAATTGGCCAGTTGGTCTTTGATGTGAACACTGGTGGCATGAAGCGAGGCGACTTTGGAAGTTAACATTATGTAGAGCTGAGGTTTTTAAGGAACAGCTGATTTAACTTGACACATTCCAGATTCTCAAGATTCTAAATTCTATCAATAATGAGAATATTTTACATAGAGTCTTCCTTCAAGGAACTGACTGTAGGGAACTGTGGCGTGGGCATCTCTTTGGAGTATATGACGGAAAGCTGTGCTACTCATGTTCACGGTTCTGGTTGGTATATTTCCCTCATATTGTAAAAACTGCAAACAAGGATTGTGTCCCTGCTCTTGTATACACATGGCCTGACAGTTTCGCCAGTACTACAGAAAAGCCTAGTAAGACCTAGACTCTCCTGGAAAGAAATATGGAATTGGAGGATGTTAGAGATCATTTACTTTGTCCTTTCCTTTTGCATATGCAGAAACTGAAGCCCAGGAAGGTTAAAAGATTGCCCAAAGTCACACAGCCAGCTGGACAGCAATTGGTCCTATTTCTCTTGTCTCCTGGTCCAGTCACCTCCCTTCGAGGCCGTTTCAGACAGGTCATTCTGAATGTCCCATGGGAAGGAGTGCTTAGGTTTCTCCTCTGGGTGAAACAGGAACAAGTAGATAATATTCACCATGATGTTGGGCCATCCTCTTTGACATGCGTTAGTGCATTAGTAAAAATAGATATTCCGTGAGAATGGAGAGACCCGAGCAAAATCCAGCTAAATGAGAACTTCATAAACAAAAGGGTAGTGTTCAGCTTACATTTTTGTCTATGGCTGCATAGGCTACAAGCAACACAGGTCTGAAGACTTGATAATATCTCACAATTCCTTCAAGAGCCCTTAACTCCTTAGTTCATTATTTCTTCACTTCTGAGGACCTGGCTCTAAGTTTTCATCTTCTGGGAAAGAAACCATGCTCCCACTTCTTTTAATGAACCTGAAAAGCATCTCCAAACAGATCCAAATGATAGATAGCTGAATAGAACCCAGTTACATCAGGGCACCAAGGAAGTGAGCCCACTTATTTCCAGAGCCCAAGCTGTATTGAACATGAGTAATGACCCACGAGCAAATGGTGTTCAGGCTACCTGAAATTATTTAAATTTTTATAGTCAATTGCCTCCTTAATTAAAGATTTGTTTAAGTGGAGGCCTGCAGATGAACTCATAAAAAATATATACATATATATACATTGAGTACTTTATTGATATACAGCTATACCACTGCAAAAAGGTGGCATCAAACACATGTGAACACACTGTATATTGGCATTGTACCCTGGCGAAGAGGGGCGTTTGATGGTCTGTGAGGAGGAGAAGCTGAAATGAAGTCACTGGGCACTCTGATTGGGATGGAGGACTAACTTCTTTGGGAAACCCAAGAATTAATAAGTGAATTGTCAAGAAAGGAAAAAGTGAAAAAAATCTAGGAAGGAAAATCCCCAGTTTCTGAAATGTAGCCATTTGAAGAAAAAGGTTATGAGGTTTATATTTTGCTTTAAGAGTAGGTTCAGAAGTTTCTATGCTTATTTACTCATTCAGCCAAATATATGCAAAATATTGTGAACAGTTACATAGAGCAAACCAGAAATAAATGGCTGCCTTTTCTTACCTTAAAAAAAAAGTGATATAGTTTTCACACCATAAGATTCACCTGTTTCAATTCATTGATTTTAGTAAAACTGACTTGAGCTGTCAACCACCACCACAATCCAGTTTTAGAACATTTCCGTCACCCTAAAAAGATCCCTCATGCCCATTTGCAGTCAATCTCTGTTCGCACCCCAAGCCACAGGTAACCATTAATCAATTTCTGTCTCTATAAATGTGCCTTTTCTGTACATTTCATATATAAATGGCTGAATAATATTCCATTGTATGGATGTATCACATTTTTTTGCTCATTCCCTAGTTAATAGACATTTGGATTATTCCCACCTTGTCATTATTGTGAATAACGCTGATATGAACACTCACATAAAAGTCTTGGTGTGATATAAGTTTTCATTTCTCTTGGCTAGATAACCTAATAATCATATTTCTAGGGCATACAGTAAGTTTATGTTTAATTTTTAAAGAAACTGCCAAACTTTTTTCCAAAGTGTCAAAAATCAATTGACCATAAATGTAAGAGTTTATTTCTGGACTCTCAATACTGTTGCATTGATCATATGACTCTTCTTATGTCAGTACTGCACTTTCTTGAATGCTGAAGCTTTAGAGTAAGTTTTGAAATCAAGAAATGTAAGTCCACCAAATTTGTTCTTTTTCAAACTTGTTTTGGCTCTTCTGGGTCCTTTACATTTATGTGTAAATTTTAGGATCAGCATCTCAATTTCCACAAAAAAGAAAAATTTAAAAAATTTACTGGGATTTTGATATGAATTATATTGAATCTATAATCTATAAATCATTTTGGGAAAAATGACTATCTTAATAATGTCAAGTCTCCTCATCCATGAACATGATATATCACTCCACTTCTTACATCTTTAATTTCTCTTGGCAATGTTGTGTAGTTTTCGGTGTATAGGTCTTTCATTTATTTTGATATATTTATACCTAAACATTTTATTCTTTTTGATGCTATTATAAATGGCATTCTTTTCTTAGTTATATTTTCAGATTGTTCATTATTAGTACAATTGATTTTTTTGTATATTTATCTTGCATTGTGACATCTTGCTGAACTTGTTAATTCTAGTAGCTTTTGGGTGGTTTCCCAAGGGTTTTCCACATATGGGATCATATCATTTATGAATAAACACAATTTTGCCTGCTCCTTTCCAATCTGCATGCCTTTATTTTTTTCTTGCCTGATTGCACTGGATTGAACCTCAAGTACAATGTTAACTAGCAGTGGCACAAGTGCCTTGCCTTGTTTCTGATCTTTAGGGGAAATCATCCTGTCTTTCACCATCAAGTATCATGTTTGCCATAGGCTTTTCATAGATGGCCTTCAGCAAGTTGAGGAAATCCCCACGTATTCCTAGTTTGTCCAGAGTCTTTATGATGAAAGACTGTTGGATTTTGTCAAATACTCTTTCTCCATGCATTAAAATAATAATATGGTTTTATCCTTTATTCTATTAATTGGAGTATCACATTAATTGATTTATGGATGTTAAACTAGCTTTGCATTCCTCAGATAACTCCTACTTGGTCGTTGTGTATAATCCTTATATGTTGCTGGGTTTGTTTGATAATATTTTCTTGTAGATTTTTGCATCTATACTCATGAGGGATATAGGTCTGTAGTGTTCTTTTTCTTGTGATCTTTTCTTTGTCTGATTTGGTATTGGGGTAATACTTGGCCTTCTCTTTTCTAATATAAATAACCTTCCCAGTAATTTCTGGTTTCCTACGGCTCCTCTTTCCGGTCGTCCAGCCAGAAATCTGGGGTTTTACGTTCCTAACTCAGTTGCATGCTTCCACATATTGTGCTTGCCTCTGGGGCCAAAGAGAAACAAGACACAGAGAGAGAGAGAACAATGTGGATTCATCACACCCTGTTGGGACCACAGTGCCACTAATCTGACGAGAAGATTTCCCTCCTTCAGAGTTTTGGCTCCTTTAGGCTCACATTGCCAACACTGCTGCCAGTGCCATAGGATTGCTTGGGGACTGGGGTCTGAGAATGGAGAAAACAAAAGGAGGATGTCTGCATTCTTTCTGAGTATTAGAACTTTCTTTTCCCATTCCTCAAGCCAGAACTAAAGGGCTTCTCCTAGAGCTCTCTCTGTCTGCACCCAGGTGCCCTCTTCTGTGTTTTGGGCTGCCTTCAGATCAGGCCAGGGAATACCAGAGGGAAAAAATGGTAAACTCCCCACCAGTTTGGTGGTACTTTGAATTCTTGTCTTCTTTCCAAACCCATTTGCTATTATTTGCTCTTTAGAATCCTTAAATAGATTTTATCCAGGAACCCAAGCACTATATGTTTATTTTATTTTCTAATAACTCATTTTAAATTTACATTATAAGAGCACTAGTCCTCAAATTGATTGGGAAGTAAAAATAATGACTATTCTGGAGGGTGGAATGGAGGCTTTTGGGGTTTTTTTGTGGGGGGAGGATTAGTGGGGATTGGGTTTTTCTATTAATGATCAGTCATCAAGCATAGAAAATAGAACTCTAGAGTTGGATTTTACAAATCAAAAATTATGCTCCCAGTTTCTTCACATAGTGGGCTGTCCCATTCACTCCAAGCCTTTATTCACATGGTACCATTTGGAAATACCAAAAGCACTCCTTTCCTTTGCTTTTTCTGAAGTTGCCTGGGGGTAAAGGCTTCCCAGAGAGATTAAAACTGAGCTGGGCTTTGAAGGGGTTATCTGGAACAGGAAATCTTGCTCATTGTTTAAAATCTTTTTTCTCTGTGTTCTTCAGATTGGATAATTTCTATTGATTTGTCCTCAAGTCTCTTTCCTCTGTCATATCAATTCTGCCATTGACCCCTTCCAGATACTGTATTTTTTACTTCTAAAATTTTCATTTGGTTATTTTTTTTATAGTTTCTATTCCTCTGCTGAAAATATTCATTCAAGAGTATTCACCTATACCTCATGGATTATGGTTATAATTGCTGATTTAAAGTCTTTATCTGATTATTCCAACACCTGGATCATCTCAGTATTGTGATCTATTGATTGCTTTTTACCTTGAGAATTGGACATATTTGCTTCCTTTTTTGCATGTTGCATTTTGGATTATATAATGGATATATTGAATATTATATTTTAAGACTCTGAATCCTGTTTAAATTCTCTGGAAAATGTTGACTTTTTTTTGTTTTAACAAAACTTGATTAGGTTTAGACAGCAAATTCTGTCTCACTTCCTATGGGCAGTGGTTGCCATGTCAGTTCAGTTTTAAAAGCTTGTTCCCAAAAACATAGAACAGAAAGTACTCCAGAGTGGGTATACAGTATATGCATGTTCTGGAATTCTTCAAAAGTTTGATTCTCAGGAGAGAGCCCAACCTACCCCACACCTGTGATTTTCACTGTCTGCGTTGACTTTTTCTATCAATTATTAATGTTTTATCTTTTTTAGCAACAGAAATTTCAAGGAAATCCAACAAAGAAAATCAAATCAAAAAAACTGGATCCCCTCAAAGGCCAGAAGGTTATTGCAAGATGTGATGAAAACGGCTTTTATTTTCCAGGTAGATATTTTATTTTGTAAGATTCTTTTGTTGAATAATAATATGCTATCAGAGACCAGAGGTTCTCAAGCTGTTCTTTCCTAGAACACTGACGTTTCCTGAGATGCTCAGAGGCTAAGGCGTGGAGCTTTTCTTTGCAAGAGCAGTTCCTGCGAACCTGCCATTTCTCTGGGGCTTGGATTTGCTGGGAGGTGATCATAGGAGACCACCCTGCTTGATTTTCTGAATTGGAGCTCTGGAGAGGGGTCCAAGGCCAATTTGGCAGTTGAATGGAAATGCTGAAAAGGACTGGATTCCAAATGGCTGGATTAGGGCTTGGGATCAGTTTGCTGGCCAGGGTCCCAGAGAAAAGTAGGACAGCTTGAACTTTTCCCCAGCACCATCCCTGTGTGATGAGAAAATGCAGAAGACGTGCTGCTGTGATCTGGGGGAGTAGAGGGAACAGGGGTAACACCACAGCCACATGTAATACCCGAGGCCGTGTCAGCAATGATTATTGCCCTGGTTTTTTTTAAATATGCAATTAGAGGCAGAGAGCACATACTCCTAATAGCTGCGTGGGATCTGGCTATTCGAGAATTTCAAATGTGTGGCTGAGATTAAACTCAAATAAGTCAGTTTAGAGGAAATAAACATTTGAATTTAGTCATATAATCAGTCATTTTCATTAGTGGCTAGTTAATAAATATTGACTCAGCCGAATTAAATGATAGTGCGTGGGTTACTGGATGTAATGAGTTTGTGTTTCCCCTCTCACCCAAAGTCAATGAATCTTTTCTTTAATTGGGAATTTCAACTCTACTTTACCTTCATAGAGTTATTATTTTTTTATTTTTATTATTTTTTTTTTTGTGAGGAGATCAGCCCTGTGCTAACATCTGCCAATCCTCCTCTTTTTTTGCTGAAGAAGACTGGCCCTGGGCTAACATCCGTGCCCATCTTCCTCCACTTTATATGGGACGCCGCCACAGTGTGGCTTGCTAAGCAGTGCGTTGGTGCGTGCCCGGGATCCGAACTGGCGAACCCTGGGCCCCCGCAGCGGAGCACGCGCACTTAACCGCTTGTGCCACCCGGCCGGCCCCATTATTATTATTATTTTTTTTAATTTATTTTTGTATGTGTGAGGAAGATTGGCCCTGAGCTAACATCTGTTGCCAATCTTCTTCTTTTTGCTGAGGAAGATTGGCTCTGAGCTAACAGCTGTGCGCGTCTTCCTCTATTTTGCATGTGGGAGGCCACCACAGCGCGCCTTGATGAGCGGTGCGTCGGTTTGCGCCTGGGATTCAAACCTGCGCGCCCTGGGCTCCCAAAGCGGAGAGTGCAAACTTAACCACTGCGCCACTGGGCTAGCCCCTAGAGTTATTTTTTATAAAAAATAATTTCAAACTTACAGAAAAGTTGCAAGAATAATAGAGAACTCCTGTATACTCTTTACCCAGATTTACCAATTTTTAACATTTTGTCACATTTATTTTGCCACATTTCTGACTTTATTTTATTCTCTCTCTCTCTTCTTACCTCCACACCTACACACACATTATTTTTTCTGAACTATTTGAGATTAGGTAACATCATCCTGCCCCTTTAACCGTTAATATGTCAGTGTGTCTTTCTCAAGAACAAGGATATTCTCTTAATATAACTACAATAAATTTATAAAATTCAGGAAATTTAACATCATTATACTACTTTTTATCTATACATTTCACTTTTGTTAATTGTCCCAATAATGGCCTTTATAGCATTTTTTACGTAGTACATGTCCCAACCCAGAATCATGTATTGCATTTACTTGACACGTCTCTTTAGTCTTCTTTAATCATGAATCATTCTCCAGTCTTTTCTATCATCTTTCATGATATTGACATTATTTAAGAGTAAAGCCAATTATTTTATAGACTATTCCTCAATTTGAGTTAGATTAGATTCAGATTATGCATACCTGGAAAGAATGCCACCTAAGCGATGACAATGATGTCATGTCCCTCTCAAGGCATCCCATTCAGAGGCATGTGATGTCCACGTGCCCTCATTAGTGACGTTAATTCAGATCACCTCGTCACTATGCATTACTGTTTTCTCCCTCGCAAAAACGAAGGCCAAAGAGAGTTTTGTGGATCACAGGCATGATATTCATTGGTGACTCCTTTTCTGATAACTTTTGTTCTAAACATTTTTAATGAAAACTAGCTGGCTTGAAGATGTCCGTCAGCAGAAGGTGGCTTTGGGGTAATTGGATCAGAGCGTCCATTGCTTAAGGCCCGGTCTACACTGGAGCAGAGCTGGTCAGGTAGTTGCTGCTGTCCTTGGGAATCAGGGCAGGGATTTCCATATAGCTAGCTCTCTTCCAGGGGTCTGAGTGGATTATCCAGTTGACGAATGACTGCATTGTTCAGAATGGAAGATACAAGCTGACAGCCTGGCTTATCAGGATGCTGAAAGGCAGGGAGGAAGATGCGTTTCAAAACCTTATTTTAAATATTACTCGTGGGAATTGGGTCATCTTTCCTGTTGTTCAGTGAGAAGGAGCATTTTACTTCAGGAAATTCACAGTGATGAAAAGTCCAGGTTGCAAGGTTTCTGCTCTATGCCATAGGAAGAGTTACAGAGGAAGGAAAAAGCAGGGCTGGTGGGGGGATGGAATACTTTCTCGGGTGTAATGATTTAGGGTCAGAAAATCCTAAGTTTTTATTTCTTTGAAGTCTGCCTCTTTCCTCTACTAGCCCTCAGTAAGGTGGAATCACTGAGCCTCAGTTTCCTTATCTTTCCAAATGGGATTTGAACCACTTAAAACCCCCATAAGATCATTAAATATGATAATATACAGTATTTTGTAAATTGGAAAGTGTTAGTTACATGTCTAGAGTTTTTCTATCATCCCATGTGAGAGCTCCTCTTAGGAGATGTAAACAATTCACATCCTCTGCTGGGGGTAGAGGGCACTGCTTGAAATTTAAAATTTGACAGCAATTCAAAAAGACAAATACAAGCACAGTGGGCTAGAAAGGAACCCTCTGAGACTAAAGGAAGAAGAAAATGTGACGAATAGATGTGTAGGATGACACTGAGTGGAGGGGGCGGGCGGAGGGGACGCTTCTGATGGAGCAAAGCTAACGCCTGTTTCAGGAGATGGAATTGAAGCTGGTTTGTGAATATAGGAAGGTTTTTACAGCCAGAGGTAAAAAATCCATTCTCCAGCCTGAGAAATTCCTGTTCGGAGCAAAGATTGAGAACTATTCCTGCGTTTTTCACCAAACGAACTGATCTGCGCTGTCTGCTTAGACGATTTCTCCATTCCTCTGACCGCTGAGCATGGGCCACGTTTTTGCTGAGGATCTCAAAAGGAGCGTGGCTTCTTTTCCCCGGCCTGGGTGTAGGACAGCCCTCTGGGAGAGGTGGGGAGCCAGACTCATCCCCAGGAAGATGACCGGGATCGCCAAGCCTCCACCGGGAGAAAGACCAAAGCAGGGGAGGTGCTTCTGCGTGCTGGTCCAACCTCCAGAGCCCAGGCCTCTGAAACGGTTCCCAGAGACATTTCAGAGCCAGGAGACATGGTCTTACCTCTCTGGGGCTGAGAGCAGAGAAAACTGCAGTGTAATGGAAGCCAAGAATGGAAGCTCATCTTGAAGCAGGACATAGAAATGGTAGCAATTCCTTAGTGAGGTAGAGAAGGAGCCCGTCAGTGCAGAGACTGAGCCGTAACTTGACAGGCCGGCTCTGGGTCCTCCAGCCTCTGGAGCCCAGGCAGCGGGGGGGTCAACAGAGTGAGGCTGGTTCTACAGTTAGACTACGAAACTGCGCTAGGTTCTGGAGGTGAACAAAGGCCCACATCTGGAGAGATTGTACAAAGAAGAAAACAGGATGGAAGGAACAGCAAAAAGGTTGCAGTCACATACAAAAAGTCCAGGTCGGATCATCTAGAGCAGAGGTTGCAGACTTTTTCTGTTAAAGGCAGATAACAAATGGTTTAGACGTCGTGGGCCATGCAGTCTCTGTCACAACTACTCTACTTAGGCAGACAGCTGAGCAACTGCATCCCAGGTCTAAGACTGGATTCTGCAAAGTCCCAAAGGCTAAGAATCTGTGGCTGTCTTGACAGCCCAGACCCTTCCCCTGAACCATGGGAGGGAGTGGGGGCACGCAAGTGTGTGAGATGTGAGCATTCTCCTCAGTTAGGAGTGGCTTCTCATTGTTTTCATAATAGAATTCTTTCTAAAAAGTAGTGTTTGTTTTTCTAACTAAAAGGATAAAGTCAGTTCATGGTAGAAAATGTGTGAATAACATACAAAAAAAAATTTCAAAAACTAAACACAACATTGTAGTCCATAAGAAGACACACACAATGTAAAACTGGTTTGTGTGTATGTGTGTGTGTGTGTGTGTGTTCTTAAAAAAAAAGGTTTTCATTTCTTTGGCCATTTAAAACAAGAGACGTGGACTCGAGATGAAAATCAGCAGCTGTTCCTTTGCCACAAAGGACACAAGGCTTGGCCGAGGCCAGCATGTGAGTGGAGGCGGGGGGTGGGACACTCACCTGTGGGAGCCCGGTGGGGACGGGCACATTTCTGTCCCTGAGCGGGAGTCCGCGTGCAGCGGCTACCGCCCAGGGAAGTGTTGGAGTCTAAACTTCCCCTTGATATTTGTAATCCCTTCTTCATGGGAAAGTAAATTTCAACTAGGATAAGTGACAAACCATGTGAACCTTAACACAGGGATTTTCTTTTCCTGTTATAATCAACTCTTTGAGTATAACTAAAAGGAAACTTCTTGCTTCTTTTTTCTTTTTTCCTTTTGTGGTTATACATTTTAGGGAAGCCCCGGGGGTGTGTTCAACCCAGTTACCTTATCATTTATTAGATGAAAAGCTCATGGTGAGAGTTCATATTTCCTTTTTGTACTTTCACAATTTAACAACAATGATTTTCTATCTCTAAGTATTATAGAAGGAAAAATGGCTAAAATAAATAAATGAGGGGGCCGGCTCCGTGGCTTGGCGGTTAAGTGCGCGCGCTCTGATGCTGGCGGCCCGGGTTCGGATCCCGGGAGCGCCCCGAGGCACCACTTCTCTGTCCAACGCGAGGCCGAGTCCCGCGTACAGCAACTAGAAGGATGTGAACCTATGACATGCAGCTGTCTACTGGGGCTTTGGGGGGAAAAAACTGAATAAATAAAATCTTTAAAAAAAAAAAAAATAAATAAATAAATAAATGAGGAAATCAGCTGGTAGGAAGTATCCAGGGAGGGGATATTTGTTTCTAGGAACCATGTTCCTGTCAGGATGGTTGCTGGTGATGCTGGCTGAACAAGCTTCTGCACGTTCTCTGGGCTTTCCAGCCCAGCAGGTGCTCAAACCAGAGCACTGCACCGCACCCCTTGGAACCGGTCAACTGCAGTACACATCATCATTCAGTACCCACTGGTATCTGTGGAGAAATCAAAGGGGCACATTGATTTAAACAGGCAAAGTCGTATAATTTAGTGGAGGCAACAGGATTCCGCAAGCCTAAGGGAATAGGCGTTATTTGTCTTTATATTTGGTTTTAAATTTGATTTCTTTTCAGGGGTTGTGAAGAAGTGTGTGAGCCCCACCCTCGCACTGGTGGGCTTCAGGTATGGAGACACCAAGGTGGTGCCCACCTCCTTCATCACTCCTGTGGGGGGAGCCATGCCCTGCCCGCTGCTCCAGGTACTGCTCCAGCGATCTGTTCCGGGGGCTCCTTGTCACCATTCCCAGAGTTGTGGATAACAGGGGACGGCGTGGCCACTGTTTGGCCCTGTGCTGAGCGTCTGGTTGGGCCACACAAGAAGCTTGTGTTTAGGCAGAAGAGCAGTGGCCCCTGTTCCTGTGACCCCCTTACCTGGTGATTTCTTTGCTCACGACCCTGATCTGCTAACACCTGTTAAGTAGCTCATGACTGCACAGACTTGCTTGCATTGCGCCTTGAGGCCCCTGTCACTCTACAGACAATAGGGGGTCGGGGAAGGGACTTAAAATTTTAACTGCAAAAGATTATATTGAAATGGATTTAATAACGAGGGCAGAGGTAGCACGTTCCTTGACATTGTAGTCAATTGAAGCCAGACCTTGATGCTGTAATGCAGTCCCATCTGAACGTGCTTTCCACAGGCGAGCTGGGCTGATGTGTTCTCACCTGCTTATAATTCATAAAAGCTGTGCTGTGTCAGGCCCGTCGTCCTGCTGCTATCCTCATCCAGGCACCAAGGCCCAAGAGTGGAGAGAAAGCCCCCAAAGCCCTACTGCTGCTGTTTCTTGGGTAGTGGGAGCCAAGAGGAAACGCGGCCGGGGAGCACTCATGGGATTCCACTTTAGTTGTCTGGTCCGCTCTCCCCCGGCCAGACCCAGAGCACACGTCAGTGCCCTCTCCCCCTGACAGTCAATCCTCTCCATCTCACGAATGTCCAGCCTCTGTATGCCCCTTCACAAGATTTTCTTTCTGCGGGAAGTTCTCTCCTTGTGACTTTTACCCATGGATTCCAGGTGTGTGCTTTGGAGCAACGCTAAACAAACCTGCTCCTCTCCTTTGTCTGTGACAGCCCTGCAGATACATGAGGGCACTGTTCACATCTCTCCTTGGTCCTCATGTGAAACGTTCCAGGTTCCTTCAACCAGTCTTTGTAGGATATGGTTTCCAGACCCCTTGCCATCTTGCTGGCTGTCCCCAGGTCCCTTGTCAGGTGAAGAAGTCCTGCTAACCTGGGCTTTCCCAAACTGATCACAAAATTCCAGCTGTGGACCAATGAGCCCAGAGAATTTTGGAATTATACACTCCTTCTAACTGAGAAAAAAATATGTATTTGAATTTTAACATCAATATTTGCTAATCATCTTATAAACAAGCTTATATTAATATTGTCTATAAGATCAATGAGCAAAATATTGGCTATGAAATATGTTCCCCTCCACAGGTTGGAGATTATGTATTTGCCAAAATTGTGATACCCAACGGATTTGACTTCTACGTCCCTGCCATTGTCATAGCCCTTCCGAATCAGGATGTGGGCGAAGACAAATTCTACACAGTTTTGAAGTGTAACAACCGGAGAGTAAGTAGACTTTCATTGAGAAAAAGACTCTCTCGCTAGGCAGAAAGTGGCTTCTTTTACCCCTGCCTGTCTTGTGGGCTCTTTCCTGGCACTGCCAGATGTCTTAGAAGAGTGATGTCCCTGGCTGGATCTATTCCCCCGGTGCATCAGCTCCTTGTGGTCAGGATTCTGCCCGCTCTACAGCACAGAATCTGCCCTCACTAAGCACAGAATCATGGCCTCCTCACTCCTCCAGCAGACGGTCTTTGGGCTCTCATTCCACATTTGACGGCTGGGGGGCTCCCTCTAGTTCTTCAGTGGCCTCCCCGGGTTCTTCCTCACCACTCCCTCCCTCCACTGCTCCTCCTCCCTACGTATTTTTCCTAAAAGTTTTAGAAAAAATCTTTATCAGTTTACAAATCTGATGATGTCACTTGCCTGCCTGACATCCCACACACACACACTTCTTATCAGCCTCAATGAAAAGCCCACCATGACCCCAGCCCAGCCCCTGCCTGCCCTGTGAGCTTGGTTTCCAGCCCCATGGAAAGCTCACTGCTTCCTGAATACAGTGGGCTTTTCCAAGGGCCTGGGCTTTAACTCTTCCTGGATTGCCCTCCCCGTCTTTTTTCCATGAAACTCCTGTCACCCACCCGAAAGACTGCTCAACTGTGACTTGCTGCCGAGACCCTCAGGGTTCTCCGGCACATTGTACTGCCCTCCTCCCACAATGGCTTCCTCACCAATCTCCCAGCTCCTTAAAGACAAGGACTGTGCCCTGCTCATCTTTGCACCCCCAGCACAGCCCCTGATGAAGAGAAGGTTCTCACAACTGCTTTTAAACTACTTGAAAGAGTGACGTTTCTAATGGAAATAACATTGTCTTGATGGACCACTTAATATGCCTGGAAAATAGACTAGCAAGCAAAATAAGAGTGGCTAACTTTATTAAGCACTTGCTATGTGCCACATGTACTAATCCAATCACACATAGTGACCAACTGAATGCGCAGAACACCATGAGGGAGGTACTGTTATCATCCCCATTTTCAGACAGGGAACCTGAAGCTGAGAGGTTACGTCAACACAGGGTCAGCAGTAGAACAGATATTTGAACTCAGGCAGTCTGGCTTCATGGCCTGCACTCTAAACTCTGTGCCCGACTGCCCTAGTGGACAGAATAAAAATATCCAGTCAATTCTTGACTGTAGCATGAGGTATCCATCAGGGAGGGGTCATGGTAAATGAATTTTAGGATTAAGGGCAAAGGGTGACGACCATCAGAGCCAGTGGCCCGAGGAGCACTGTATCCAATCTGACAGAACAAGAGGGAGAAGGGGGTGCTTTCTCATCAACCAGGAAACATGGAGGTTCCTGGAGCTGTTTGGGTGAGAGTAAAGAAACAATCTGGAAGGGCAGCAGGTGGGGAAGCATTTCTGACATGTGGCCCTGCTCTGGGGATAGCTACTAGGCAAGAGACGAGAACGCCAGTCAAGGGATGTTTGAAGCGATGTCCCTGGGCCCCAGGGTGTGGGGAGAGAGGAAGCAGGTGACCTCAGACACCTGAGGAAGAGCCTCAGAGCCCAAGAAGGAACTTGGAATTTACCCACAGGGCAGTGGGGCCCTGGCGACTAGATGGCATGGTCTGAGGGATGGACGCTGAAGACAGTTCTGATAGAAAGTCTGGGAGACCCCTGGGGCTGAAGATGGGGCATTCAGCAAGGGGTGGTGGTGATAGTTTATGAGTCCAGAAAAAAGATGGCCAAGGCTGAAATAAAGATGGGAATGAAGGGGATTATATGCAGGAATGTGTGTGTGTATGTGCACGCACACACGTGCATCTTATGTGAATGGACTTGGCAAGTGATCCAGCATGTGGAGAAGTGACAGGACTCAACGATGACTTTTATCCAGCATATAATTATCAAGCTAGGCTCTGCACTTTAAACTGCACTCTTCAGTATCACCCTGAATAGGATAATGTAGCTACTATAATGGGTTGAGCTAGAATAAAATTACATCTGAATGTGGCCATTTCTGATTTAAATTGAATGAAGTCTTTTGGTATTATTACAGGAATTTTGCCCTCGGAGTGCACTCATCAAGATCAGCCAGAACAAGTATGCTCTCTCTTGCTCTCATATAAAGTCACCCCCAATGCCGCAGGATTCAAAAGTGTAAGTGGACCCAACTTTTTACTGCCTGTATTTTATTGATATCTTTGCACCTTTAGTTTGTTTCTGAGTTTTTATCCGTGATCTCTAAATACTTGAGGAGAAAAGCAGAGGTGGAGGACTTCCTACTTAAAATGTAGTTCTGTGATAATTATTTCTTCAACATCCCGCCTTTTCCCTGCTAGTTATTTCCCTATCTGATTCTAATCTCAAATCCAACATTATATTACTGACCTTTCAGAAAAGCATTCAATCCTGTCATGAATCTGAAGGAATTATTCCCCTTTTATTTGTAAGGATTCACGGCCTTCTAATGAAGTCCACTATAAAGCAAAGGTTAGATCAAGTTACTATTGGGACCAATCCCCCGTCTGCCTCTCCCCTTGGGGGATAAGAGTGAGGTGCTGGCCCTGGCTTGCCTGTGCCCAGGTGAGTATTTGTGGGTGGGTGGTGGTTTCCAGGGACTACAGAGGGTGAACACATTTTCATCTGAGGCAATAGGATTGCTAAAAACTGGAAAGGAGGATTAAAGCAAAGTCAATAAGAAAAAGCTGAGGCCTCGAGAGCAGGCAAAAACCCCAGTCCATGGGGCCACCGAGTGGCATCAAGGTTGGAATCAGAGCCATGACCTTGGAGGTGAAGATGAGTTGGGGAAAGGGATCCAGGAAACCCCCTTCAATTTCACTCGGGGTTTGTGGGTCATATTTTGGCGTCAACCGTCATTCTGCCAATGGCCTCACTTTGTACCTCATAAACAGAAACCATCAAACATTCTCTCCGCCACTTCCTATCCCCACCTCTGGGCTTGTGGAAACCTGTATCTTTGTGTCTAAGTCTCTCCTCTCATCCAAGGCTGATCGTCCACCAGCTCTAGAGGCCCATGCCCATGTCCCGGGGCCTTGCCCTGTCAGTTACCCTGGATTCTTCTCTCCTCTCTCCTTAGCTCCTCTCCCTTGATTCCTTCCCCTCAGTAAAAACCCAAGGTTGCCTCCTCTGTTTACACACATGCATGCAAGCATGCACACACACGCACACACACAATCCTAACTAATAAACCTCTCTGGGTTCTGCAGTGTGATCCCACATGCTCCTTTCCCTTCACTGCCGAGTTCCACGTGCAGTTTGATAGCCTGATGTTGCCACTCTGTTGCCTCCTACTGACTCCCTGAGCCTTGGCTATCAGCTTCCCACGACCCATCTGCGGAAACTGTTTCCAAGGGGCCACTCAGGACCTCTCACACGCTCACACCAATGAACTCCGCGCACGCTGACGGAGCTTACTCTTTCAGTCCTATTTGACAGTCCACCACTCCCTCCTTCTCTAAAGCCCTGCTCTTGAGGCTTGTCACGGCTCCTCCTCTCTCTGGATTTCCTCCTGCCTGATTTCACCCGCACTCCTTGCTTCCGTAACTCCACGTACACTAAGGACCTCATATCTCCATCTCCCACCGAGACTGTTTCTGTGCTCTTGCTCAGAATCATAGTCTCTGAGAGCGGGACCTGGGATGGGTTTTGGTAAGAGCTCCCCAGGTGGCTGTGACGTGCAGCCATGGCTGATCACCACGGTGGAAAGAGCATTAGAAACAAGACCTGGGTTCTATCCCAGCCCCACCCTCACTTAGTTCTGTGCCCCTGGGCAGGTTGTTTATCATCTCTGAGCTTGTTCCTCGTGGTAAGATCACGGTGGTGTGAGGACTGGACGTGGTCGCTGCCGTGCGTGGTGTAAAGCAAGTGCTCAGCATGTGGTGGGAGTCATATTCTTTCCAGCTATCCTCCTGAGTGTACAGAATCTCAAATTCAGCACATCTAAAACTGAAATCATAGTTCTCTGCAAACCTGCTCCCATCTCCACCTTCCCCGTCTCAGCTCACTCTTCTGTCCACCAGTCACAGAGTTGTCCACGCAGAAACCCGGTAGTCATCTTTGCTTCCGGTCCTTTACCCGCCACACCCCATTGGTCTCCCAGTTATATGGATCTTAACTTGCAAAGATTTCTCAGCTCTGCTGGACTGGTGCTGCCTTAGGTCAGGCACTCCCATTTCCCGAGGCCTCTGCCTCCGGCCTCCTCCTGCCACAGTCCCAGCATCTTCCATGAGGGATGAGCAGAGGAATCTTCCTAACATGCAAATCTGCTCTTGCCCCTTGCCCACTTAAAAATCCTTCAGAACCCCCCTCCATGCCCCTTCTATTTTTTTAAAATTATTTTGTTGTGGTCATATTGGCTTATAACATTGTGTAAATTTCAGGTGTACATTATTATATATCAGTTTCTGTGTAGACTGCATCGTGTTCACCACCAATAGTCTAGTTTTTATCCGTCACCATACATACGTGCCCCTTTACTCCTTTCACCCTCCCCCCACCCCCTTTCCCTCTGGTAACCACTAGTCTGTTCTCCTTTTCTGTGTGTTTGTTTATCTTCCACATATGAGTGAAATAATACGGTGTTTGTCTTTCTCTGTGTGACTTATTTCACATAACACAATACCCTCAAGGTCCATCCATGTTGTCACAAATGACACGATTTTGTCTTTTTTTATGTCCATGCCCCTCCTTATCCTAGCTTAGCTGCTTGTCATTCTGACCCAGGCCTGCTTCCCTAGCCTCACTTCTCCGTAGCCACCCCCCAACCAACCTCTTAAAAGCCCTCTTTTAACCGTACTAACCATACTAAACTACTTGTCACTTTTTCCGCACACCACGTTTTTCAAGGCTCTGTGCCTTTGCATAGGCTAAGTGTTCCTCCCTGGAGTGCTGTTCTTTGCCAGTGGCCTCCTGGGGAGCTCCAACGCTGAACTCAAGCATCACCATCACTATGCGATGTTCCAGGACTCCTGCCTCCTACATAGTGAGGTGATCCCACTTTGCCCTGTGGAGGTTTTCATTACAGGAATTTTCCCTTGTGTTGGGCCGTGTACTTTCATGGCCATCACTCCTGTTAGGCAGAAGTCCTTGAAAGCAGGGTCCAGGTTGTGTTGCTTCTGAATCCTGGTTGCCAGGGTTCAGCTCACAGGATGTGCCCAATGACTGAAGCATGAAGCAATGAACAGATGCTAGTGGATGCCCAACAATACTCCTCGAGGGTCCCGTAGTTCCACAGAGAATCTTTCCTTAGGTATGATTATTGAAAATATATGCTACAATCATTTATTCTTTTTCCAGATGAGTATAATATTTCATTTAAAATAATAACACAGTTGTTAATCTCAAAATTCTACTCAAACAATATGATATCCCAATTACAGTACATTATAAAGGACTATGAATAGATGTATCTGGGTCTTGACCATTTTCACTAAACTCAACATTGTCAATCACGTTTTTTTTTTTTTTTTTTT